ATATAGGTAAGGCAATATAGGTAAACGCTTTATGTCTATCCATCTGTTGTATCCATGCTATATTTCTATTGTTATACTTGATTTTCATACTCTATCATCAACCCTATTAGTTGTTTTGCTTTTTTTGGAAAGGAATCATAACCGGTCTTGTATTGTTTCGCTGCAATAATATTACTAATACTGGAAAACTGTTTTTAACAACTAGAATTTATGGTTTGATTTTCTGCCTAAACCTAAATAGTATATATTTAGTTTTTAGTTTCAGTAGTTAAGAACAAATACATAGTTTTTATAATAACTATCGTGAGACATACTAAATTAACTAAAAATCGCGGGTAACTCACGTGTATAAATTGAGAAAAGCTCTACTAGTTTCGAACCACAGAGGGGTTCCCACTGTAGTAGTTAGTTGAGTAGGCTGCGCGACGTCGCCGCGTCCGCGCACGCTGCCCATGAGGAAGAACCCCTCTGTTTCGAAACTAGTAGAGCTTTTCTCAATGTATACACGTGAGTAACCCGCAATTTTTAGTTAAAATACATAGTTAGAAAACCTAAATAAATTTGTCTGAGATGTTACAATTACGTCTTGGCCTGGGGATTAAGGCTCCTGCTCGTCACGCATGAGGGTGCTGATTCAAATCTTGGCAAGTACCAATGTGACTTTTTCTGAATTATATTACATATTTTCTAAAATTATCTAGACACAACTAAAAGACAGTGAAAGAAATTATCTTGACTACTTCTATCAAAAGTTTAAAATCATAAATCCACCTTGAGGAATTTTCGTGGTTATCTCAAATTAACATGGTTTTAGAAAAGGCCTTTGATCAGCAGTAAGATCTCAAAGTTTGATGATGGAAAATGTGCCTGCTGTAAGTACATACATAAATGAAATAAATATGCAAATATGTCAAGTTTAATTTCAAAAGGAACAAACATCTATCCTTCATTTCAATCACATCCTTTTTGAAAGGGAAAACGTGATTTCAAAACAATTAAAATGTATCCTAATTGGTTCTCTGAAGATTGGACGAAAGAGAGAGATAGATTACAAAATCGTGAACACAGACATGATATCTGATAAGCATTAATGAAGCTTGTATTGTTCATTTGGCAAATTGATGTTATACAGACCTTCGTAGATGACCTACATTTTAAAGCAGACCAATTTATTTGAGATCATGATGACTCTGATGTTACCTTAGAGTAATGTAGTAATTATATACATAGTATTGATAGTTTACTTTTAAATGTAGATCTAATTGCAACGTTTTATCGGTAATTGGATTTCTAAAGAAGTTCTGTAATCGATTTTTTTATTTATTAAGGTGATGGTAATATTTAAATTTATAGTTGATGCCGTTTGATTTTAAAGTCTTTGGAATTTTACTGTTACATCAGGTATTAGGTCATGCTCAAATACCTCATATTTATCATTAAGTGCAATCTAAAATGTATGTATGTATAATATCACCCCAAGGATGTCATGTGTATTTTTTATTTTTGTGGGAGTAAAGTCATCAAAACCACTCCGGCTCATAATCCCTGGCAACCCGCAGTAACTACTTACTGAGTAAAAACTGCGCTTACATCCGCAACCCTGGTTCTCGAGTCGATAATTATTATTTGTAATATAAATTTCATTCTTAGAGTAAGTGTGATAAACCAGAGTAAAATATACACTAAATATAACTCGATTGAGCTAAAAATTAGTGGTGACACCAAATCAGATGCTTACAGAATGGTACCAAAAACTCCTTATAATAGATTATTTAGACATGGTTTAAGTATATAAAGCTGAAATATTATAACTAACGAGTCATCTCTTAACCTTAGTTGGTAACGATATAGATCACGCATCTTCCAAGTAATTACAACTTGTATGATGACCATGAGTTTCAAATAACTCAAATCAATCATCTCAAAAAACATTAATAAAAACGTGTTAAGATTATTACTACTGAGTTACGAACCACATCTACGATATTATATAATAATATAATGTACTAATAAAATGGTACACTAGCGCTCCAACGAAGACCAAATAAGTAACAACAATCATTTTAAACGAAGTTTATTCTATAAGTACAGCGCTTGCGCCCACACTTGCGCCAATCTATACGAGCTTACAAAGCTCGCTATGTTTGTAGTTCGGGCTTAGAAATATAGATGGCGTTGAAAATATATAGTGTAGGCGTAGACGTTTTTCGTAAATGAAATCTTGATTTTTGGTATTCGATTTGTAGGATTTTGTTATTAGGTATATTTAAGACTGTTTTTTAATAGTTGATTTTATTTATATCTGAAAGAATTTCTGCAGTCTACTTGTTTAATTTTTTATTCTCTCAGATATGTAACCTACACTTAAGCCATGCGGAGTTTACCTGTAAGTAATTGTTACACTATTGTAATCTATTTCAGGTATACTACAATATACATTCGATTTTATTAAATTTCATTTACTGCTTTTGATATAAGTAAGACTTGATCCCATAATAAACAAATTACTGTTACCGATATCAAAATACAATAGAAATTTGAATGTTTCATAATTTTAAGTATTTTTTTTAAAGTTGAGTTTAAGTGTAGGAGAGCCTAGCTTCGGCGCGAATGGATTAGCTCGACCGGAGTGATACCACGGCCTTACAGAAAACCAGCTTGAAACAACCACAGCGTTGTGTTTTGCCGTGTGAGTTACCGGCAGCCCAATTCCTCCCCCTTTTTACAAATCCTTCACAATTATTATTCTCATTTAAACTATGACTTATATCATCACGATCAGCAGGTCCGTTCCATCAAATGCTGGTCATGGACCTTTGCGAAACTGAGTTCAATATAAAACTATTCAGAATAAAAGTTTAAAAGGGCATCAGACTCTTGCTGGCTAAAAAGCATTCCGTTCCTGCTTCTGCTTCGCATATTGCTTGTACCAGCTACCCCGGCTAGCATATTACCCTAAATCTTTATAACTGAGCCGAACACTAAATACATAGGGACTTATGTACGGTAAAACGGGGTGAATAGACACGGAAGAGGGGTGAATAGATACTAGGAAATACGCCAACATCTATTCACCCCTTTCGTGTATCTATTCACCACTCAAATTCTATTCACCCCGTTTTACGGTAAGTAAAGTAGGTAGGTAAGGTTAAAAGTTAAGGGAACGCCATCTTCGGCACGAATGGGTCGACTTGACCAGAGCGATACCACGGCCTCAGAAAGAAGAAAACCAGCGTGAAATGACCACAGTATTGTGTTTCACCGTGTCAGTCGGGTTATTGCAGGGCCCAATCCTTCCCTTCCCAAAATCCCTTCTCAATCCAAAAATCTCCAAATCCCTAATCCCCAAAAGTTTGGTAACGCACTCGTGACTCCTCTGTTTTTGCAAGTGATCCTTTTACTTGTTTGCCTGACATATCACATAGAAAAAATAACATCTTTTATAATTTGTGCAATTACTCACAACTTTACATTAACAAATCTATCTATGTGCATATTTGTCCGTCGATCACAACTCATATAAATTACCATCAGGTTGTTACTTAGGATCTATCCATACATAGAGTTGATGAGCCTTGGAGACACAACCAGTTTTTTTTTAAGAAGCTCAATTTAAATTTTCCTATTTAAGGATGTAGATGCATTAGATTTGTCGGTACTTTTTTGCCCTTTGATTTAAGAACATGGGGATTCCATTTTATTATTCATGGACCTGTCTGAAGCGTTTAGAAGTTTGAAGTCTTTAAGGTGTTAGGAATTTTATGTTAAATTAATTGCTATGGTTTGCAATTTATATATAGTTGCACACGTTACAGATTGCCGTCTAAGTTTCAGTCAAAAAATGTATTTTATTTTTATCAACTATATTAAGTATTTTAGTCTTCAACTTAAGATGACTAACTTTGGAGAATTTTTTTTCCAAACCTTAGTTACTACATGAATGCAAGCTTTTAATTTAGGTGCAACAAATGGCAACTATTTGATATAATGGCATGACCAGGTGTTCCTTGTAGGTGCTGAAGATGACTCTCGGGGAGGTCTCAGTGAGGTTAAAATTCCACACTTCTTCGTATTTTTCCCCAAAACGGCATTAAGGTTACACTCGTAAAAAATACTTATAAATTTTTGCATAAAAAGCCTCCTTTTTCTTTCATCATAGTCGGGTAAAGAATGTAGATAATTATAATTGTGTCCATGGTTTGATTATATAAGAATCGTGAGAGTACTATCACTTTCGTAACATCCTTATTGCCTCTAATATGTAAAAATGCAATTTTATTTTAATGAGTAGTAATAGGATGTCGTGAAGGAAGAGTTTAATAGAAGAATGATTTATTTTATATTTGAAGTACATTTACTAAGGACTTCAATCAGAGTTAAATAGGGTTCAATATAGGAAACCACAAAATATTTCTTGCATTAAGTCGTATATTCGTTGCTTCATTTTATATTTACAATTCTTAATAACTAAACGTAACTTTTTTTATACATTTTCCGTACTAACTCTATACTGTCCTTGCTTTGCTGTATAAAAACTTATAACTATCATTTTTAACAGAATGAAAATAATTTGTTTCAAGAAAAAGTAGAGATTTTTACAAAGGTTTGAGATCACATTACAAAAGATAAGAGAGACAGGACTATTCTATATGAACAAAGTAACAAATATATTAAAAATAATAATCACATGTATGGAGTCACAGCAAAATAATCGTTATTTATACATCATACAGTGAATGATGGTGGAGGGCTTCAAGATAAAATAGTGCGAAAGAAAAATGAAGTTAATAAATACGATGTTCAATAACAAACGATGAACGAAAATTGTTCCAACGACTGTGCAAATCAAAACATTCAAATCATTTTTTTATTATGAGCTACACTAAAAATAAAGAACAATCGACATACTTTAACTTTTATAAAAAGTCAACTTACGTAATAATTCTTACATTTTTTCTGGCTTTGATGGTATTTTTTTTTCATATTATGATTTTTATTTAGCTTATTGAATATTTTCTGTTCTACATTTGCACAGCCATCACCTCCATGCACCATCACGAGTATTTCCATCTTAGTATCGGTATCCAGTCTGAGAGTTGAAGTTGCCCGATCCAGAGCCACGGCCTCCAGCGTTGGGAGCGAGGTATTGACGGGAGGCAGCACCTCCGAAACCACCAGCTCCAGCGCCACGACCAGCACCAGCACCTCCGAAACCAGATCCAGCACCACCAGCGCCAAAACCGGATCCAGCACCACCAGCGCCGAAACCAGATGCAGCACCACCAGCTCCAGCACCACCGAAACCACCAGCACCAGCGCCGGAGTAACCACCAGCAGGTCCAGATGAGTAACCGTTGCCAGCGCCCGCACCTTCACCGCGGTAGGTACCTGAAATGACATATTAAACTGTAAGTAAAAGTCATTCTTGTAAATTTTCCGAATTATAAAATAAGGTGTGATTATTACAAAATCTGCTCTTAATATATCAGCATCAACATCAAGGCAGTGTAATTTATGTGCAATCTGACGTTCTCAGGGCATTTCACGCACCGAGTTCACGAGACTAATGACTAAAAGATTGGCTGCCAACATCGACCAACATTCCAATGTTCCACTTAGCAACAAATTCATTAGAAATGGAGCATTAGCTGAGGATTGTTGGCGTTGGTCGGTAATGGTCAAATGTTGGGGTTTGCATAAAGGTCAAAGCAGGTTAACCACATTAAATGTGTCTTCGAGGTTTGTGGTTTACTCTGCAGTATATTATTAGGCTTCACAAAATACTCTGATCGGCAAGCCATGTCAATATAGTCTGTACATTCTAAAAGTTGAGACTCAAATTTGCCTAATTTATATTACCTACAATTAAAACAAAGAGGATCATCATTATCATAACTAGCTATTGGTACATAAACTGTATGATTAAAATGATGTGTATTTTAACTGACCTTTTGTAATACTAAAACAAGTGGGCCATATAATTTTCTGTTTATTTTCAATTTACGAAATAATTCTGTAATTTCGATCACGCACATAATATTACTGTATTGTTTGTTATAGAGGCCATGAAGTGAGCGTTTGTGTCACGAGGAAATTGCAAAATTGTGGATACGTTTATTTTAATTTGTTGTATGTCCCTCATTGTCAGAGTAATTTAGTAGTATTTAGCTTTAAGTTATTTGCGTATGTTATTGTTAAAATATTTGTCATTTAATTAGCTTTTATGACGTTGTAATTCTAAATTTCTTACATTTCTATTTTATATGCCTTAGTGGCAAAAGGTATTCTTTAGTATAACACTTTAATTTTGAAATTCAGAAAGTACCTATTAGATGTATCCCTTCACAGTTTGATTTTAAATTTCGTTTTCATCAATGACGAAACATGGAAAAGCAATGTTCTTATGTACACTTGGAACACACAAAATTTAAACGCTGACTTCTTAGCTACACACGATGACACGACTCATCGAAAGCCTCCAAGGTTGACTATGAACGGTCTGGTTAACGTTCGCTCGAATTATTTAAATTGTATCAAGTTATTTAGAATGCGAAGATGACCGAGGTGCATGGGTATGCAGTTTCTAGGTTAAACACAGGTCTGTCTAATGACTGATTGGCTTCACCTGAGGGTTTTAATGCACCTGTATCTGTTACATGTTGCGTCATTTCTGTATGAACTGAGATATATGTATAACTACTAAACATATCATCTGTTCTGAATAACTTCAAAGTGCACTGCTGTTATTTCTTAGCCAGGCCTTACATGACTTTGTCAAATTGAAGAACTATCCTTTTTATCAAAAACCTAATATAATTTCTTGAGTAATCTTTCAAAGCACGCATCGCAAAGTTCCCATAGCAAAAAAGCCTTAGTCTTACTTAAGTTTAACTATGATGCAATGATTAATCTAATAACCTAAGAAATAAAGTTTATAATCGGTAAATATCTTGTTAACTAGCTCATCGTTGACCTGTTATGTAAGTGATTCAACATGTAGACCGCTAATCTGGCTGTCAGTTTGACAAGTTACGAAAAGATTAGTCGCCGTGTTCTCTTCAGAACCTACTCGCTCTTTGCGTAAATGTAATGTTTTGAAGATAAGAAGAACATTAGTCGATCATGTATCATGTTTATGAGCTAGTTTCATTTGGTGATCGAACTGTCACAACGTTGTGTAGTAAGGATAATGGGCGTTCAGAAGATGTGGTTTAGGGAAGGCATATTAATACCGTTTCTTTTTATGGTAGTTTATAAAAAATGTTACTCTTTGATCCACTGGATTTACTTGTGCATCAATTGATATGGAGTTAAAAGTTATAATTAAGCTACTTATCAAAAATTGAATGGAAGAAGTAATTCGTAACTTTACAATTGTAACTTTGTTAGTTTTATTAATTTTAATACAGCAATGAACAAGACTATTCTAATTACTGTCAAAACCAATCTAAATTGAATCATTTAAAAACATTAGATAATTATCTAAAGCATCAACGAAATCTTCACGCTGTTTAACCGATTTCAGATCTTAACAATCTGGTTTCCCAGCACGTTGTAAATTTTAAAGTAATTAATATAGTTCAGAATATCTTAAGATCTAATGTTCCCACATTTTGTAACTATGAGAATTGCGAACAAAGAGCCATAACACCTAACACACATCTTAAGTTCTTAGAAATACTTTATTCCGTTTTGATAATGTTGATAATATTAGTATTTGTGACATTAGACCTCCTTTGTTGGATCTCAATGCTTAAGAGCAAAGAACATAGTATATGATTGAGGTTTTAGAGGCAAAAAAACCCCATGAAACATCTCAAAGGAAACCCCATGACGGAATAGCATTAGCTAATGATAATAAAAGTACTAATATAGCAGGCTTCACTTTCATTTCCACTGCAACTAAATAACCCACGAACACTTTCGCTAAACTTAGCAAAAGTTACAAAATGTAAAGCTCAGTGCACATCGGTGTTGCAACACGTCATTATTTAGATGAAGCCTTTATTACTGTAGCAGCAGTCATTAATATACGCGATTACCGCCCATCTCTGGTAAATGCACTCATTATGGTCCGTTTGCATTTGAGTAATTTGGTAATGCAAGCGTTAGGACATGTTTTGTTAGTCTTTTATAAGAAACTAGATGATATGCTAAATTAATTGGTACTTCTAAAGCATCTTTGTAATGAAGAAAGAAAAAGGATTGTGTGTCTAATATGAAGAGAAGATTAGTATCAGTAATTATTGCATGATCAAGTGATTCAACATTTCTTAGAAATGTGTGAACAAGATTGTTAGAATGGCATTTTCTTGAGTACAAAACAGAACTTCGTCTGTAGATGTCAGTCTCCAAGCTCAATAGGCAGACTGCACTTGTCTGACCTTTCGATTATCTGTAGTCTGGATCATGTGCACCACGCCTTACGGTGAGTGGTGTACTGGTGCGGTCACGTCGTGACCGAGTGCAACCGGGGCGAAGCATTAGTATCGTCCCATATTGTTGAGAAATTGGTCATTCCTCGAACTTTGTGTGAATCGTGATTGGTACACTGATTGCAATGACTCGACTGTTTATTGAATCTTTATGGTATTTTACTATGGATCTATTTTTAAGTGAATAAGCTTTGTTTAATTACCTAAATAATTTGGTAGAAGAAGTCAGTATAGTTGTCTGACCAAAATCAGGATTGTGATGGAAGCTGAAGAAGTAACTCAGCAGGTGACTGCGTAAGGTTTGCTTATCCCATGGGTCAAAGACGTGAGCTCATTAATACTTGTAGGCAAAGACAAAGGCATAGATACAAAAGACTCAATAAGGATAATCGCAAAACACTTCAATTACGTTTAACCACTGCCCCTGTTTTGACACTGTTGGGCAATCGTTTATTCCGCGAAGAAACTGAGTGTGAATCGGGTTAATTGTAGCAAGATACTAGACTAACCTTTGAACTACTATAGTTTATGTGAACTGAGACATTAATATAGTCCTGTGTTATTGAGAAATTGGTCATTTCGAACTAACCCGGTGTGAATTACAATGATTTGAACATAATGTTTATGATCTTCTGAGAACCCCCACTTGTGGTGTATTTGTATTAAGTGTATTACGAAATTATTCAAATGTGTAAATACGAAATTATTCAAAATATATCAAAATGAGACGACAGAAATGATGTCCCATTTAAAGTTGTTTAACGGGCCTCTACGAGTTGGCTTCGGCCTCTCGTACGGCCTTCCAAAGGTCCGGGATCCTGTGACCCAGTGCAAGGAAACGAACATAAAAAGAAAACAGAATTTTACTAGAAACAGATTCGTTAATATAATCGCGATGATAAATCCATCTAACACAGGAGATAAATAGATCTGATCAAGCCTACAGATAGTGAATTTGTGAACGTTGTCTTATTCATCTGTGCGTTCACTGATCGATATCTACACAAGCTTGTCATGTAATTTACACAATGCGTAAATAATTTGTTATTGTCTTGATTTCGGCTACAAATTTTGTGCTTAAAACAACCAAATAACAATATTGGTTGTAAATGGACCCAAATCTGTCCCTTGTAGTAGTGTCTTTGAAATCTGGTTTTATAAAAGTGTTTTTTAAAATAATACTTTCTAAAGAGTTTCGTACTTTACATTTTAGCAGTTAAAAATCCTTTCAGAAAAAAAAAATATGTTGCAAGTCAACAGAAGAAATACTAGTATAAAACTGAAACTGTGTGAATACATAAATTAATTAACTTTTCGTGATAAATGCAATTATCGTTAATCTTTGAGTTCCCAATTACGATCGAAGAGTTCCCAATTACGATCGAAGAATTACACACCATTAATAAATTTATGAATGGTTACCCAAGATCGATGATGATGCCTGGATGAGCAGATTAAGTATCGACGCTAGGAGCATGATCGATTTGCTTTCAAACTGCTGCTTGATCGCTCGTTAAACATCGATAAACTTTAATCGAATACACTATAGCAACAACACTGTCAATCTAAAATGAATTCTGAAGTATCATTGATGCAACAAATTCGTCAGGATCTTAGCCTTTGAGGGTTTTTGTTGCTAACATATTTGAAACAATGGAATGTTTTGTTCAAATGTCTGAGTGCACTTACACAACGCATGCTATATCTATACCTAAAATCATAACACAATTTATTTCTAAATCTATATTTCTCTCGGAAACAGGAATTTATTGCTAGACTAAAATGAAAATCCTATCAATATTTATTGGACTGACCATTCCAATAAAGTATGCAATGTGGGATAGCCGAGAATCCTCATTTCGCAAGGCTGTGAAGATCTGCCTTCAAATATGGCTGCCGACTTTATGAGTGCGTTCTAACCCAGTAATTTACATTTTAAAGTCTATCTATGGTCAATCAAAGGCAAATAGTTTGTATTAATTAGTGAATCTGCTTTTAATTTGTAGGATCTTGACTCCATAGGATCGACAAGGTTCTTGCTTTATGTAATGCTAATTTAAGTAGGTTTAAAAAAGGAATACTAAGTAGCTTTTATTCGATTCGATCATGAATTAATGGTCCTTTTGTATAATGTATTATAGTCCTTTTATCGCGCTTTTTGTGAGATACATTTAGCTTCTTTATATTAAATTCATAAATATTTTGCAAACAAGCTCTCAATCTGTAATGTTCAACCAGTATTACTGTGAAATCAATTAAACGACCTATGCGGTACCTTAATTTGCTCCTACAGAGATCACGATGCGTGATGCAACGATACCACGTCATTTTGTAACTCATCAATTACTCAGGGAACAAATTATGAGCTCAGAACTTAGTTTTGTTTTCTTTATTCTTGGATCTTTGCACATGTACTTACATGCATTGAAACAATTAACAATAGTTTAATAGAATGTAACAGAGGAATCAAGTGCATTGCCGGCCTTTTGGAGATAAGGGGTTTAGAAGGGATTGAGAAGAAATAGGGGATTCCACGGAAACGACAAAAACGCGGGTGAAACCGCGGGGCACAGCTAGTAATATATATATATAAAGAAAGCTGTGCTTTTCATATTTTGAAAATTTTGTCTCAATGGATAATACCTATTCGTAATTGGGCTGAAAATCGGGCGTGGCTCACTGATAGCGTTTTATGATTTTTATGAGGGAATATAGTTGTGAATGCCCGTTTGTTAAGAAACTGTATTTTTTATAACTCATCAATTAACGTATGTTAAGGATGTTAATGAGTTTTATGGCAAGACACATACAGTACTCGAATCCTATATTCTATTTTATTCGCTATTCTGAAATAGCGTGGTACATAGGTTTCGAGTTCTTCCTTGGTAAATAATTTCGGATTCAAGTAACCGAGATAATGTCTAGACAAGTTTTGTTAGGAAATTGTAATGGATTTGTAAGCTCCTGTCTTTCTACTGATGGGATTAGATTATTTTGTTTCGTGTATGCTTTTTGACGGACATTTATTTTTCAACAAAATTCTGCTGGTGGCACTAAAATTATATTTTGTTAATTTTTTATTTGAATTTATAATATTTTTGGGTATTAAAGGATTTACTACAAGACTTCATCTCTTTTTATTACATGGCTCGATTATTGTGTATTAGGAGCTGCTTCAAAGATTATTTAAGTAACTACTTTAATGTTATGTTTTTTTTAAGTCTAACCCTTTAAAAGTTTTTGTCTCGACCCAAATATTTTATACGGTTACATAATATAACGATCGCGATGATTCTATTTTTTACTAGTTAAGAGAATTGAACTCGCGTGAATTACCGTAAAAAAATGGACATTAGTCTTCTTAAAATTAAATTAATCTATCAATCAATTTGGTTTAAACTTTTTTAGATGTACTAATCTTACTATTTGCTCTAAGTTTCCGGTAAAAAATAGATTATCTTTGTAACTGCACGATGTAAGTTAATTATACACTGAGATTCTAAATTTTGTGTGTGGTTTTTAGAGGTAACAATGGTCTTTTCGATTAGGCTTCTAGTAATTAAATTGCTTTACTCACCATCGTCAACGATGCCAGCAGCTTCATCGCGGGCGTTCTGCTCCAGAGACTTCAAGATCTCCTCTGGGATCGGGGGAGGAGTGGGCAGATGAGCACCCTGGGGCTGGTAGCCGTTCTCATCAGCGGTGTATGTGATGCTGTAGTCTTGACCATCATCACCCTTGTACGCGAAGCTTCCCTGAGATTGGACTCCGTTGGTAGCAACACCACGAGCGTCAGCACGGATACCGTTTGAGGTTTCGAAGTCGTAAGAGAATCCTTCAGCGGTCACTTCGCTGTTCAGTTTGAGGATCTGAGCGCTGGCATCAGCGGAGTTACCACCGCGAGCGTTGAACTGTCCACCGGCAGGAGCATTGTATGCGTTTCCAGAGTATTGGGTGCCGCCGAATCCAGGTCCAGCACCGCCTAATCCTGCTCCAGCACCTCCGAAACCAGATCCAGCACCACTGTAGCCTCCAGCACCACCGGCTCCACGACCACCAGCACCAAATCCACCGGCACCACCAGAGCCGAAACCTCCTGCGCCACCAGCTCCGCCGAAACCACCACCGGCTTTACCAAAGCCGGGGGCACCAGCAGCGCCGAAGCCAGGGCCGAAACCGCCGGCACCAGCGTTTCCTCTGGGAGGGAGGTATTTGTTGTCAAGACGGTCTGCTAAGCAGACACCGAGGACAGCGGCTACCACGAACTGTGGAAATAATAACAAGTTATAGTATAATAGAATCTTTATTATACTTGTAATGCATGACCATGGTGTACGAACACATGGCAGAAATAAGTTGACAATTCACCCTGCCCCAATTCCAATATAACCTAGTTTTGATGCCGTAAATGGACATTACCTCATTGAAATTCAAATCAATGATGAGCATGTTTTAATTGTAGACATTTTGTTTAATTGCTCGCCTAAGTTTGTGTACATTCGCAGTTATACTTCGAAATGTCGATTTTATGTTGCTAATGAAAGATATACGACCAGAATTTTAAATGCAGCTAATTTTTTTGTACGTGATTATATGTTTATAACTTTGTGCAATTCTAAGCAACTAAGCCTTTTTGAAATACTCATTATATGACTGGAGTATTGAGGAGACGATCTGATCTTAACTACAATGAAAACTAATAAAACTACCCGCAATAAAAAGTTGTATTACTACGTATAATCCGCTGAAACGGCTTTCGAAATTCACGATTAATCATATTATTATTTAGGGTTTTGTCATTTAACATTAAAATTTAAGCGAAATTTTTATATAGGGCGCTGATTTATACCTAAAATTTAGTTGACTAACAAAATGAAGTAAGGAAAAACTTGAAAATAAAATTAATGTTTTCTCAACTAATGAGAAGTATCCATAAATCAGATGACATGAACACCTGACAAAGCGATCTGATAAGCAAGTGATCCCGTACGACTCGCGTTTTTAGGGTAGCGCGAGCGTTTAACCCCCAAACTGCACCACGGATCCCGATAAACGAAATCGACTTACCAATTTCATTATTTTATTTATTAAAATATATTTTCTAAGGAAGACTACTTGTGTGCTGAGCGATGTTGCGTTGACTGTGATGTGCACCAACGCTCCGACCAATATATACCTCTCTAGATGAGTGAGAATGATTCTGAAAATGATATCAGGGCCGCTGCAGCGTCGTAAGAAGGTTGATCTTCCTTTATTATTGAGAGAATGTGTTCGATAGTAAAGTTGATATACATTTTTTTGTGATGACATCCGCGTCCGATGAAGGGCTGATTTCTGATATTTTGTTTGTTACATTACAATCGTTTGTGTGTTGATGCGTGATACATTCGCTGTGACAGGTGACGTGTTTAGTGATATGCAAAGTTACTTATGTAATCATACGTAATAAAGTATCTTATTAAAGTTTTTGGTGTTAATTTAATATTGTAAGGGTAATATCAATATGTTGAACATATTTTTCTATGTGTAAACAATTTAATTCATTTAATTCATTTTTTACATCAGCATTTTCCTATCACCCTCGGGTTTATTCAAAATGTATTGGCTCCCCTTAATAACTTGAAGTCAGCCGGTTAGGAGCATTGCGGATGAATAATTTTAACTGCACAGTTGACGCGGTGACTTGGCTTCCAGGCAAGGTACCGCGGGTTCGCGGGAACATCTCGTTGTGTGATCCACTAGTTCTAGTTCCGGGTCTGGGTGTGAATGTAAATTTATATGTTTGTTAACTTGGTTGAGGTGTTTTTTTCACCTTGGTCTCGGCCCGGAGCATAAGATGGAGTAGGGTGGTTTTAGTTCAGGTCCTATATTTTCAAAGATAAATAACATTCAAAACTCAGTTAAACAGATCACTCTTATAAAAAGTCATAATTGCTTGAATATTAAAATTAATTATACCCAATTATTCAATATTAAGTTGGAGTTTTTCATTTTATCTCCTTTGTACTGTTTCATCACTTTCATTGAAGTGTTATGTGACACTTCATACAAGTTAAGATTTATATTAAAATTTACCTGATACATAATTGTTATTTGGACTATTCAAACAGGCCCTTAAATCTATACTTTTTTTATAGGCTAGTCCAATATTGCCTAGTAGTGTTTGTTATCGAAATAAAGGTGTGTTATAGGTCTACCTTTGAATGTCTTCTGAAGGAAAAGCTGGCGTTATATTATACCTTTGTTGTCTAATAAAGAACTGCAATAAATATGCTAAATTATATTGATACAAATTCTATTGTTTTGGCACACCTTTTTGGCGAATGTCATTCTGTTGTGGTTAAGTTTCTAAAATATTTTCATAAATAAAATATATAATAAAATCAAATTTCAATAAAATGGTTTTTTTTTTCATTAAAATGGTATTAAGGATTTTCTTATCAGGAATTCACAGCAAACAATAATCGACCATATGAACAACAAACAATACTCGTCTTTAGATCATATTCCTGTATATACAAATTTATGAAAGTACTTAAGCATAGTTAGTAAGTTATTGCAACTATTTAGAAGCTAAGATGATCACGTTTTGAAACTCAGGTTAAACAAAGTTCTGTGTAATATTTTACAGTGATGTTGTAAAGGCAATAGTTGAGAGTGTGAAATAGAGCAATGAACACAGAACGCGCTTGTTCAGGAAAGACGGACTTTTATCATATGTATGAACGTGAAATTTTCCTAAAGAAATGCTTTTCAAAGTCATTTGTAGGTGTGCCTTCAAATAATTTTGACTTTTTACTAGACTGATCTGTTTAACTGAGTGTTGAATGTTATTTATCTTTGAAAATATAGAACTAAATTATGTGGTCAGTGATGTGTTCTAAATATATATAATATATGGCATGTATAGATGCCAATGATTCGCCATCCCTGCTTTAGTATATTTTGTTGTAAAACTCCTTGCTGACAGCAAGAAGTTTTGGTGGGAGCAGGAGTAGCAGCACAGTTATTTTTAGTGGTCTCGCCATGGTATCACTCCTCTGGATCAGATATTCATGTTGTTCCGAATACGTAATTTATGTTCTTCAGTGTCGTAACTTCACATTTTTTCTAATGACTGAAAAATGTAACATAATTATTGATAAATTTTAATATAAAATTCAACATCAGGTGTGAAACATCACAAAAACTTCACTGCGATATTTTTATGTCTATATTTTTTTCTATTTTATTTTAATAAAAGAACTTACGTGGTTGCTTTATAAACACCATGTTTGCCAAGCTGAACGCAGCTCGTAGTTAAAAAAAATTAGGTTTATCAACCGATAGTTGGTAAATGACCAAACAGATCACCTGTTGGAAATGATCCAGCGCCACCCTTTGGCACCATAACACTAGTAGAGATAATTATAAGTACGTTGCGTTATGTTGGGAGTTGTTTAATATCTAAGGATTGGGGGTTTGGGGATTGGGTCACCTCAGTCACATGGCGAAACACAATGCGAGTGTTGTTCTTCGCCGGTTTTCTGTGAGGCTGTAGTATCACTACAGTCGTACCATTCCCGCATGGCTTTCCCACACTTAAATACAGATGAAACTAAATGCAGCAGACGAAAATATGGTTTTGCCCATAAATCAATGTTCAAGTATGATACCCAAATTAGGCAAACCTATTAGCTATCAATTGTTGCTTAACGCCAAAGAACGTTTCTGCGTGTGAGTGAGGTTACCGGAGGCTTGATCCTTCCTAGTCACTCCCTCCATTCCCAATTCCCCAAACCTCAAATTTCTAAAACATATGTAGAATAGCCTGTAGGCCTTTCTCTTGCGCACTTGTAACTTCTTTGGCATTGTCAGTATCCATGGACGGTCGCTTACCATCAAGTCATATAGCTGCTCGTTTGTCAATGCAATCTATAAAAAGTTTGTCCACAAAACCTATTTATCACCTTTCGTCACTCTCATAATCATAATCGCCAAAGCAAACATCATTATCATCATCACCACCATAATCATCGTCATCATAAACATCATCATTTATAACACGTGGACAAAAGTCATAGTAGTTTATGTTAAAGTACTATATGTTGGTAGGTATGTATAAAAATATCCCAAAATTATTGAATTCTTACGACACATTTTGATAGAGAAGGGGTGGTGACCAAAATTATTCTAGTATTTTTTACTCTTTTTTTTAATCGTTGCTCCCTTATATAGGACTTACTCCTGTGTTGTGGATGTGTAAAATCACGCAACTTCACATACACATCACACACAGACCCGGAACAACAATTTGATGTTTGTATATTTTTTTATTTCGTGCAAATATCGAACCTAAGACACGTTGCGCGACAGCCAGTTGCCCCGCCGCCGCATCTACAGAGTAGTCACAAGGTTTAAGCCCTTAGGTACCTTTTAAAAGATCATTTCAGGTCAAGTGCAAGAAATTGCAATCAATCTACATTATATGAAGGTTGAGACATTAGAATCATTTTTGTGAATGCTTCCATTCTAAGAAGTAGATCGATAAGTTGATAAAATGTGACTTTTTTGAACTTTTGACCTTGTACTAAAAGAATGCTTATGTTAGTCTTGCCCTTTCAGAAATAAAATGTTGGAAAGGTACTCTATTTAGTTAAGAATGTTTGATTTGTCATGTATTTAAGTGTGGGAGAGCCATGCTTCGGCACGAATGCGTCGGCTCGACCGGAGTGATACCACGGCCTCACAGAAAAAAGGCGTGAAACAACCACAGCGTTGTGTTTTTTCGCCGTGTGAGTGAGGTTACCGGAGGCCCAATCCTTCCCCAACCCCAATCCCTCCTCAATCCCTAAATCTCCAAAACCCTTATCCCTAAAAGGTCGGCAACACACTCGTAACTCCTCCGTTGCGGGTGTCCATGGGCGGCGCTGATTACTTACCATCAGGTAATCCGTCTGCTCGTTTGCCGATCTATTACATAAAAAAAAAGTATAATGGACTTCGTTGTTGTATTTGTGGTTGCGAATGTTTCGACCTATTAGCATATTGAAGGGGGTTGTTCAAAGCTTAAGGATTTGGTTTGGTTTTTCGAAAATATCTTAATAATTTAAGGTGTTTTAGATTGCATGTTCCCTATTCTATGTTAACATACTTATTTTTGCGACATGTATACAATTGTCTCAATGTCGGTGGTCGTCGACTCCTCTGGTGCAGCGAGTGATGAAAGGCGAACTGGCGTGTCCTCCTATTTCTTAAAAAATATAATTTGGAGTGTATTAAAATTGTATGATAAGGGATTTAAAATGATTTTTAAGTACAGACATTTTCTTTCATGTCGATATATTCGAAGCATATTTTCTTTTTTAGTGTTGATTAGATTAAGCTGATCATCTTGGCCATGATGCAGAGCGAGACGAGAAAGGAGAAATAGAAATGGTACTCCTCATACCGCATGGAACAGGCGACGGGAATCGCTCATACTAAATTCCGAGATCGTCGCCAGAACCACATGATGATTGAGATTGTCACAGACTCTAGCGCACGTAAACAGTCATCAGTTAAGTTGTGGCAGGTGTGTGACCCTAGTTTGGACCTGGATGATATATAGATAGTAAGTAAGAGTCTAACACTCCCTCTTACCCCACCAAGGGCGGGAGAATTTATTAGATGATTATTAGATAATTCTCCATAAATCTGCAGTAGCGAACCGCGGCCCATTGCAAGAGAAGGAACGGTGTTTAGTCTACAAGCATCTGACTCTCCTCGCGCCTTTCAGTGCAGGAGAAGTTATTGGATGATACAAAATAAATCTAGCACCTACCACATAAGTCACAACTCATACAGGAACAATATTCGAACTCAGACAAGCAACGAAGAATAACAACAATAAATCATCAATGGTAATATTTTGTGGAATGCTGTCAAAAGTATTTAGCGGTACCATTAATCAAAACGGTTGTTCAAAAACAAATAGTAACATACATGAGAATTAAATAACAATGACGTGTTATGTCATTTTTTTATTATAAAATGGTTGTGTGAAATAGCATCACATGAAATGTGAATAGGTAATTCAACAAGCATTTTATCGAATG